ACTAAAACTAAAAATATTTGCTATTATAATCCTATTTGTTTATAACTCTATTTGAATTATGTAAAAAGTAGCCAAAATAAAATAAAAATATTACTTGTTTTTGTTAGCCAGATAGGCAAGAACTTTCAGAGTTTTTGACAGGTTTTTTTTCTAATATTTTATTTTATTTTTTTTCTTTGTGAGGAAGACTAGCCCTGAGTTAACATCTGTTGTCAATCCACCTCTTTTTGCTGAGGAAGATTGGCCCTGAGCTAACATCGATGCCCGTCTTCCTCTACTTATGTGGGAAGCCGCCACAGCATGGTTTGACAAGCAGTGCATCTGTGCGTGCCTGGGATCTGAACCTGTGAACCCCGGTCCGCCAAAGCAGAGCTCACGCACTTAACCAATGCGCCACCGGGCCGGCCCCACTTTTTGACAGTTTTAACAGAAAAATAGAAGAAAGTAAAATTACAACATGCAATGCTTTCTTTCTATCGTATATACTACTTTTCAGCAGACAACCTCACGTTCCAGACATAGAAGCTGCCTATAATTTTTAATTTGTTTTGTCAGTTAAATCAATGTTGCATAACAGTTTGGGTTGATAAAATATTGATAACGTGCATATCTAGAGCTTTAAATTCCCAACGTCCGGTCAATTCAGAGCATGGTATTAAGAAAGTAACTAACTTTGCTAATTTTGATTAAAATGTTTACAGCTTGGCAGGAGCAATTATGACAATGTAAAATTCACTTGTAGGCACTCATTTATTTTAAAGGACTTGGAGTCCCTCAACCAGAAAGTAAAATTAAACACTTACTACACAAATTTCAGCCCCAAAGATTAACAATGGCAATGACCACAGTTTGGCCCTCTGAGCTGAGGACAGCGGTTAGCAGCTGCAGCTCTCCGCGCCTCCTTGGAGCCTGTATGTGTATGCCCTGCCCTCTCTGGACCGATGTTGGAATGGGCCAAGAGAATTCTACCCACAACCAGATGTAGAAAATATGTGTTTTGTGTCTGAGTATAGAATTCTCAAGTATTTATTTTCAATTAAATTTTTCTATGATAGGAAACAAATTTTCCTCTGAAATGACCTCTATTTTTAATTGTTTGATGAGATCAAAATTTAAATATGACAAATGTTTATCACTAACACTTTCTTAGCTGTACATGATTAAGCCTGACAATTTCACCTGCATAGTTTTTAAAAATCCCTCTAATACTGACTATAATTGATACAATCATAGATTTTCTTTTGTAACAATAGCCTAAACTTAAAAAAAACGCGTTGTCTGTGTTGCATCCTTATTCTGGGAGACTAAGGCCCTGGAAGGGACCCCTTTTCCTTTCCATGATGAAGGAGAGACTCGTACAGAAAGTCCATTCAGAACTACAATTAGCTGGGCAACAAGAATTTCAAGAAAGCCACTAAAACTCATTTTATATTGAGATTATATCTTAAATTATTTGTATAAGAAAACAGGGTGATACAAACCCATGTTTCCCCCCCCCCAAATAGATGAGGTAATTTTTCTTGAGATGCCCTTCATAATATTAGGAAAACATCTCTTCTGAAAAGTCACGTGGTTGATTCAAATGAACATGTCAATCTTTGGTTTCCATTGGGAACATAAGGAAATAGGTTTCTCCTTCTCTCACCGGCGCGTTGTGAGCGCTTGGTAAATGTCAGTGAGTCCCAGTGACCGGGTGTCTGGGAAGGTGGGCTGAGCAAGCCTCTCAGGGGTATTTCTGTCTAGACTTCTTATTGGACTGGTTGAATCCAAAATCCATTTTGGTTTCCAGCCTCTGTAAGTCTATTAAAGACAGAACGTCAGCAGAAGTGAATGAGTGAACATGTGTGTGCATGCTGTGTGTACGTGTGTGTGCACGACTGCCTGAATGTGTGCGTGCACGTGTGTGAATGACCTGAGATGTTTTCTCACATTTTAGGAAACATGAGAATCGTTGGCCGTGTGCAGTCCTTCTTGTGCGTGGAGTGAAGCGTGTCAGAGTCCTGTTGTGTTAAGACAGGCTGTGATTTACAAGATGCATTCGGGAATTTGATTGATTCCCTCGCAGAGATGTCCACCCATTTGTCTGCTTTCCGGGGGGTGAAAGTCCAGAGCTGACAGCCCTGAGCAGGCTGCAGAAGACCCAGTACCTGGGCTCTCTGTGAGCAGATGGTCCTACCTGGACTTTTCTTGATAACTGAACTCCAGGGTTCTGTGCCTGGGGGCTCAGGGAAGAACTCAGATCTTTCCATGTGTCTCATTGACAATAACTTCCATCATCAGAGGATGTAATGTCAGACATTTGCGATTTGGAAGCAAGAATTAGTGCATTCCAGATTTCAAATGGAAAATGCTGAAACACAAATTGAGAGAGAGCAAACTGCTGAGTGGAAACTAAGAAGGACGAGTGGTGTTGTGATGCAAGTAGATGTCGCCAGCCCTTCACTTTTCTCCAGAACAGTGAGAGCCTCCAGTGTCTACACAGCAGAGCCCACTGTGCCCACACAGAGGCCGCTTTTGGGGAGACTCTGTCTACAGTACATGGCAGGTGCCCAACCCCTGAGTTGGGTATCTGTGGGTTTCTTGCCATTTTCGCATGAGTAATGCCTCATTCAGTCTCCAGTTTGTGGTCAGCAGTGACTAGAAATGCACCCCCTCCCTCGCACTGAGAGTGGTCATCTGTGGCGTCTGCAGCAGCAGAAGATGACCACGAACCACTCACTCTGCAAGTTTCCATGTGAGCGCAGGGTGAAGTGACCCCACAGAGGAATGTCCCCATCACCAGTCAGGGCCATTGAGGCCTCAGCCCCTACACTTGCTGACATGGTAGGAACCCCTGGTGTGCTCTGCACTTTCTGTCATGCATGCCTCTGACCTTGGACGGCCTTCAGGTGTGTCCTGTGTAGGCTCAGAGCTGCCGGGTAAGGGGTGGGCCCTGCGTGGAGCTGCCTCAGCACCCACCGCGCATCCCCGGGCAGGACAGTGTCCACCTGTGTCTCCTGGCGATGCCCTGGGAGCCAATGCCCTTATCTCAACTCAAATGAGAGCCCTGGGTCCCCTGTGGGTATACACTGAAGCATCCACACAGAGCCCCTCTGACCGCTGGCCCTGTTGCCATGAGCAGCAGCTGGTGCAGTGAACGGAAATGCTTGTCTCTGGAGAAAGGTCATGCTTCCCATGGGAGATGTCCACTGGAAGCCCCCAACCCTTTCTATGACCCATCATGTCTGATGTGCAAAATTCCACCTTGGTGGTCCTTAAGAAAATCAACTCTTCATCCCAAAACTACCACTGGGATCAAATGCCCAGTCACTTTTCATTTTGATGTGTTCATTGATTGATCCATCTTAACTTTGTTTTCTGAGTTATTTTCACATGAAAACCTACAGAGTTTTCACATGATACAGAGTTTTTGTGGGATGAGGACTTTGCTGGTCCTTTTACTGAGTGTGAGTGGTGGGTGTGATGTGGGGATGGGAGAGCAAGGATCTGGGCATGGGCTTCCCCACTGTTCACGGGTGCTCGGCTCCGTGATGCCCCCCTGCGAGGTCCAGCCTCCTTACCCAGCAATGATGCACATATTACTATTTGTGTACTCTGGGGTTATTCTGTAAGATGCCGACATACACTCTTACACCTTCTCAACAACATCACCAACAATGTTCAATGCTCTGTTCAAGAAACACCCGTGTCCCTGGATGATGCCACTAGACCCACAGCTCTTCTCAGACGGGGATCCCTGGACCCTTTCTCTCCATCCCTCTGCCCGTCCATCTCACGGTCTCTTCACCTATGCAGGGTCTTCAGGAATCCTTTCCCTTGGGGTCTCTCCCTTTTCCACACTGCCCTGCAGGTGGTTATTACCAGGGATCTCCACGTGTCTGGGAGGTGTTTCAAGCTTATTCACAGGAGACAGAGCTCATTTAAAAACTTAGAATCTGGGGCCCTCCCAGTGCCGTAGTGGTTATGTTTGCACGGTCCTCTTCTGGCGGCCCGGGGTTCACAGGTTTGGATCCCGGGCACGGGCCAAGGCACCATTCATCAAGCCGTGCTGTGGAGGCATCCTATATAAAATAGAGGAAGATTGGCACAGATGTTAGCCCAGGGCTCATCTTCCTCAGTAGAAAGAGGAAGATAGGCAATAGATGTTAGCACATGGCCAAGCTTCCTCACAAAACACACAAAAAAAACCTTAGAATCTACCAGATTAAACCCATTTGATTCATATAATTGGCATAATCTTCCCCCCAAGAAATTGATGTCTCCCAGGTACACTGGGCACAGTTTTAACACCTGGTAAGCCCGAGCCTCTGATCTCCTAACAGGAATTTACATCCTGAAAACTCTTCAGCTGAGATAATGCCTTTTATGTAAATAGAAGATGAGCACACGATAGCTGTGGTTCACAAATGACGCCTGCACTTTCCTCTGTTCTACTTTGCTCTGAACTGACTCAAGACGGTTTCACTGGAATGGCCCCTCCCATCAGGAATTACTCCTGTTTCCTGTCTGGCTCCTGCCACCACCTGCCAGTGACAGGCAGCAAAGCTCAAGGCTGTGAGGGGGGACAGCCTCCCTCCTCCCTCCCGGCGCCACTAGGGGGAGAAGAGGTTTGAGGTTCATTGGTGAGGGGAGCAGGAGGAGGGAGCGGGCTGTGAGCATCTCTGCCTGGTGCCAGCCTGCAGCCCAGCTCTCACCCTCTCCCACCTGTCACCGCAAGGGGTCCCGGCACCGGCACGTGGAGGCCACAGACCCGGGGTTCAGACTCGCAGAGGGGAGGGTGCTCAGCCAGCTAGTCGTGGACGGCCAGGGACGCCGCATCCTGGAGGAGGTCAGGAGGGGCGGGTGCAGGCTAGAGAGAGGCAGGGCTAAGCAAGAGAGACAAGGGAGGGAGAGAGAGCCGAGGAGAGAGAGAGAGGGAGGGAGTGCTGGAGACCCACGGCAGCAGTGAGGAAGGAGCTCCCGCACTGAGCAGTGGCCCTGGGCTGGAGCTCCCAGCCTTGGGACCTCGGGAACATGGGGTCAGTCCCTGGAACCTTCCTCCCTGCGATCCTTCTTCTGTCCGTGCAGAGCTGGGGTCCAGCCGCAGCAGGAAACACACGTAAGTATAGCAAACGATTTACAACTTGTGTGGGGCTCTCCTAAAACTTTAAACTGTGTGGTTTTATTCTATTGTTAATATTTAGAGCTGAGATCACAGAACATGTTTCTGAAAATGAACCATGTTGAAAAAAGACAAGGACCTGCTAAAGTATAACCCCAAATAGGACACGTTTCGATTGCTTCTCCTCTGGTCTGGTCTGCGTTGTTCACGGTGTGTTTTCTGTGTGTTTTTCTGAAAGCAATGCACTGTCTCCCTGTCTCTGAATATTCATTGAGGAAGCTCAGTTCTAGTAAACCCAGAAAGGGGCATCTTGGGGGATAAGTAGCCAGCTGGCGTCTCTGGGGGTTCCTTTCTCGGACGACTGCGTTTCAGGGAAGATGTCTGATGGGGAAGCAAGTGGCAGGCTTTACACTAAGTGGAATTTGCTGGGATGTGGCAGTTCCCAGGTCTGCAGGTGGGCGCAGGCCACGCCTTTAGAAAGGAAATGGCTGGCAGTTCTGATGCCCTCCTCAGCTGACCTGGGGCACTGAGTAATGCTCTGACCACTGAGAGAACCTCAACTCTACAGCCCGGGGAGAGAAGGCACCAAAAGCCTGCATTTCTGACGGAAAGATTTCATTAAGGGAAGACAGATAAATCACTGTCCTCTTCTCCAGCCCCCTAAATAGCAGATGTTGAAATGATGGTGAATGATGATCCTTTAAGTCCTGCGTTACCGTACTTATTTCCTTCTGTCATTCAGTGCCCTGTTTCTGTAGATCCAAGAGATGTGGTCCTCATTTCTAGACTAGCATGTGCCTCTAACCCGAAGACACTGGCCACAATAATTCAGGAGAACCCAATTCACCATGCACAGCACATCCAAAAGTTTTAAGAGTTGTTCTTGGCTGGAAACATCTGTCACGGAGACTCTCCCCTCCTGATAAGTGTGGAGCCTCATGAAGACTGGGTGCTTCATCACCGTCCCCAGAACCAGCCTCATTCTTCTCTCTTTCCCTGCGAGTGCCCAGTCCCTGGCTCCTTCCACTCGGGCGTGGTGGCAGGGGTAAGGGGGCATTTCAGACAGGGGTGGTGGGCACCTTTAGGAGTTTACTGGGCTGTGAGCCCAGCCCCCGGGGCCGGATGCAGCTCCCCCCCCAGGATGTCAATGCACAATGGGGGCTGGCATGGGTGCAGGGGAGTCCCTCTCCTCTCCTGGGGACCCCAACACCTGGGCTGTGTGGCAGCGGGATGGCTCCCATGGAGGCTCTGGGTCTGTCACCCCAACAAGGGGTCTTTGACACCTGTCAGCAGGCAGGTGCTGCCCCATTCCTCATCATTCTCTATGTCTGTGCTCTCTGAGACCCACATGATTTGATGAAGGGAAATTTACACACACGGCAGAAAGGCTCAAGCCCTGCAGTGGCATTGACATTTTCCTTAAAAACAGAGCCCCAGAGAAATACCTTTAGAAATTACATGCAGGTAATTAAGCAAAGACTGCTGATTATTCCACTGAGTGAGCGCCAGAGGCCACTCTTAGGAGCCCGCAGGAGCCTCCAGCCTCCTGAAGAGATGCTGAGCAGGAAGCAGGTCCAGCACCTGCTGCGCAGGCTGTGATCAACGCCAGTGCCTCCTTCCTTTGGCCTTTGTTCTTCCAGCTGAGATCCAGTGGAGGCATAGGATTCTAGAGGGCTTGGTGGCTCTTTTCAAAGTGGCTGTTAATGGCTTGGCTCTGAGGTTCCTGCTTAAATTTCAGTGCTTTCAAGTTAAGAACTGGCTCCTAGACGTTCAGCCGTCTTGTATTCAGAAAGTATTTAATCTCCTTACCGAAGAATCAAAATTTCAAAGCATCTATGAAATTTAATTATTGAGAACATTTTAGACCCAAAGCTTGGAGTCCTTGTCTCAACATCGATGGTAGAAGTTACAGTTCGTCACGGATTAAAATGAAATCTATTGACTTGATGACCAAAGTTCATCTTTTAAAAACTAGAAATTTGCATATGCTAATTTCCTGTTAATCTCATTTTGAGAGTATTGTTTTTAATAGGAGAAATGCTGATAAAGTTGCTGCATTGTGTTTACATCAGCAACTTAATTCCTGAATATCTGAGAGTTGTGACCTGGGGAGATAACTTTGGGGTCATGGTACAGAGATTTGAGAAATCATTTAGAGATGAGAATTCTGAGTAGTTGCCAGCAAAGAAGGAATCTGCACACGAATAAGATATCATGTGCATAAGCTTTTAGGTGGCTTACGGTTTTTTTCCCCTTTTGAGAAATGGTTTGAACTACTTATGTCTCCGGACAAGACTTGAACCCAACACAAATGAAGCAATCCCCAGGTCCCACGTGAGCTGGAGAACCGAGGTCTCCTCCCCGCATGGCCCCGGGACTCACCCCCTCCTCCCGATGGTTCACACACCCTGCCTGTGTGGGGTCGGGGTGGGGCTGCCTCGACAGCACCTCAGGTCTGGAGGGGAGGACTTCCGGTCAGAGGCCCCACAGGTGAAGATACCGGGACGCCTGTTACTACGATTTGGGGATCGTGCTGCACGTGCCTCTTCTGCCTCTCTGGGGCGGACTTGCCCCTCTGAGCCCCTCTGCTCCAGGCAGAGAACAGGGCGTGGGCAGCGCTGGGAGCAGAGCCGAGGAGGGTGTATCCTGCATGGCCGCAGGCCGTGGTGGCCTCAGTGCCTGGACAGGGGACTGGGGTTCCTCTGTGGCCCAGGACTGTCTGGTCCTTGGGGTACTGGCTCTCCCCCACCCAGGGGGCTGATTCACAGCTCACGGTGGAAAACCAGGCCTCTGTTGGGGAACGAACGTCCCCACTGTCGTGAGGGCTAAGTGGGGCCCAAGTGGAAGGGAACTTCTGGGCAAACTCTGGATGCAATACAGCGCTCATCTCCTACCTGCTCCAACAAGAAGGAGCGGATGCTGATGCAGATTCTGATCAGGTGAGGGGATGCAGCCTACTGGCGGAGATGGACTCATTCTAAATTGTCAGGTTGTCTAACTCCTACCAGGAGCTGCCTTCTGTTTACTTCTGCCAAAAAGTCCTTCTCAGAGCAAGAATTCATTAGAGCGAAAGCTAAGACACCGTGGAGCATCAATGACATGAGCTGCGGTGGAAATCAAGGCCCTCTGGCTGTGAACTCCGTTTCTGAGCCCCTTCGAGCAGGGCTTGGCCTCCTGACAGCGATGATGGGCCGAAGTCACACTCGTACCCGGAAACCACCAGCCCTGGGGTCTGGGCTCAGCCCAGGATCAAACCTTCTGGTTGAAATTCATCAGGACCCCTCACCTGAATCCCTTTTTACTGTAATGGCTGCAAAATGGTGATTCTCCTTCTGCAGCAGCATCTGTAGCTGTGGACGTCCCTCCTCCCTGTCTGCTCTTTGACTCATTGACCATTGCACACTCACGTCCTTGTGCACGCAGGCTCCTGTGTCGGTCAGAGGGACGTGTCCATCCATGTTCTGATTTATTTGGATGCTCTGACTGTCACAAACCGGCTGGGGGAGCCCCTCCATTCTTTTTGGTGGTCGGAGTGTGCTCATTACTCTCTGAACACGGCCTCAGATTTGGCACAGCAGCATCTTCCAGGCTCCTCTCATGCCGTCCCCATCGAGCTCTAGAAGGGCTGCGCCTCCCCAGTAGGAAGAGAAGTTGGAAACAGAGCGGGGGATGCGAGGTGAGCTCCTTCCTGACTCAGGGCACGTGGACTCTGGACTCCAGAGGCCGAGTCAGCACTGCCTGTGACTGTGTGTGCAGGTGACCAAAGTGTGCGTTCACCCTGCCACCCCAACCCCACCCTCCCCACAGGCTCTGTTTGCTCCCAACACCCACGTTTTGTTGTTTCCGTTCCTTGTGTCTCTTCTTCCGTAGAGGAAACCCTGGCTCCCAATGACATCAACGATGTATTTACTGGTTTATACCTACCATGTATAAAAACTAGCGTCCAAATGCAACTGTCCAACATGGAAAACAGACCTACAACGAGAACCCTGGGTGAGTCCGCAGGTCTCCTTGTCTTCCCTTGGCTGAGGGTGCACAGCCCGAACACGGTAGGCAAATGCTGCTGAGCTGCTCACACCGTCAGTGTTGGTGGCTCTTGTTTGACATACAGTCAGAGCCCTTGTTCCTGTTTGGTCCAGCTCTGGGGTTGGGGCTTGTTTTTACCCACCTTCATGTTCTGGTGCATCATGTTCTCCATAGAGTTTGTCATCTAGCCAGTACTATTGTAGATAGTATTTTTAACTCAATATTCATAGGAGATTTGGTTTGTAATTTTTCTTTTTTGTTCTTTCTATCAGGTGTAGCTGCTAATGTTACCCTTGCTTCATAATAAGAGTGGAAGTTCTCCCCATTTCTATGCTCTGGAATAATTTATGTGGCACTAGCTCTGTCCTGCCTCTCAGTTTGGCAGATTCACCCATGAAACCATCTGGGCCTGGTGGTTTTTTTTCCTTTTTCTATCTGTGGGTTTGTTACTTGATAACCTTCACTTTCTTTGACAGAAATTGGTTTGTTTAAGCATTCTGTCTCTAGTTTGGTAAACTATATTTTACATGGAAATTATTGTTCCATTTACTTTTCAAAATTAACTTCATATAGATGTGCAAATTAGCTTTGTGTTTTTATGTCTTCTGTTTCAATGTCATTTCTTTCCTTGTCACGTCTAATTTTGTATTTTTGTACTGTCCCTCATTTTTTTTTCATTACTTGTCTGGTGGTTTGTTTATTATGTTGATTTTTTTTCAAAGAACCAGAATTTTAATTTAATAATTTGATTCACTGCTTTCCTGTTGTCTGTCTTATTAACTTCAGCTTTTACCTCTATTATTTTTCTCCTTGTGTTTTATTTTGGTTTGAACAGTGGTTCCTTGGTTAAATGTTTGAGTAGGGGATTTGATTCATTTATTTTCACTTTTCTATTTATCTTGACACAGATGTTTAAGGCTATGAAATTTCCTCTGATCCCTGTTTTAGCTATACCACACAGACTATCTGAA